AATGAAGGTCAAAATTCTTAGTCCAGGCCCTGGTGACCAGAAACAGTTCAAGACTAAGAAATGAGTTGAAAATAAATTGTGCTCTTGCCTGGAGTCGAACACGGTAACTTTTGCATAGAGAACTTTTATGCTAAATGTTGCAACACGAAAGAATACCTTTAATTCTCTATATTTTTCCCAGCCTGAAGGTCATTGAAGAAAACGGGAAACGCTCAGCTAGTCAGTTCTAGTTCGGGGCAAGGCATTTTGTTACGGAGTACCTTTGCAATTAAATGCAATTGCCTGCACATCTTCGTTAGTAAAAAACTGAATTGAATAAGAGAGAGCATTCGCTAAAGAAACTGAAAAGAAAAGCGGATGAGGCTGAAGAAAGTAGATCGATTGATGGACAAAGAAGATAACTGCCTATGATTTGCCACAATGAAAGCAGTGATTAGCCCCCCCCCGTCACTGAGGCAAGCCTGCAATGGGCATTCTAGGTTGGTGACTATTAAGTTTGGGGACAGAGAAAAAGAAAACTGAAACTCAAAAGCGAGAAGTTCTTGTACATATGCTTGACCCTGCTTGAACCTTGATCTTCTGTGTGCCAACTGTTACGTCATAAGAACATTATTAGGAGAAATGTTTTCCATTTTTACAGTTTCCTCTCATAAATAAAAAGTAAATATTGGCACACTTTAAAAAAATGATTACATAGTCTCGATCACATTGATTGATTATATAATCAGTCTGTTAATTACTACAAAGTCTACAAAATTTATCGACTGCATAATGAATAAGTATTGATTGCACAGCCTCTATACCAATCTTTGCATCGCAAGAAAACATAGACAAATGTCTTCCATTCCTTATAGTTTCATATTATAGGTAGGTGATAATTTCAAAAGGGTAACCAAACATGCAATTATCTGCCTCTGCATATGTGTATATCCGATAGAACACCTATATGACAAGATTATGAAAGTGTTATTCGTAAATAATCGGAAACATTCGGCATTTGCTTCAGCTCCAGAATCATTGATGTTGTATAATATGTAGCGTAAATATATATAGAAAAAAAGTAAAAATATTGATAAATTTTACAATTAACCAGCCTGAGATGCTAAACTCAATGTTTAAGGTTACATCTGAATAATTCTTAGGCAAAGAAGACGAAATTTGCTGAATGGATTATGAAAGCCAAAAGATGAGCCAATTAAAGGAAAAGACACTGACTGTGAAAAGAAGTAGACACTGATGAGAAAAAAAGTTTACTTAAAATATTTCTTAGTGTGAGACTGCCAAAGCAGTAAGTACATTTGCAAAAACTGCTTTGTGACATTATATTGGCATATCAGATAATTTGAAATAATTGATAATTCGGCATTACTATAATGTATTTTCTCCCTCCTCCCCGAGGGTCTTCGTGACGTAATTGGAAAGTTTGTCCGGCTAGCAATCGGAAGGTCCTAAGTTCGAAACCCAACAAAGGCAATAAACATTTTTCACCTTTCCTTGTGCCTAATTATAATTAAATAAGTGCCTAATTATCTCTACGATGGCTCCTAAATTAACATGTCATGAACGATAATTCCAAAGCACCAGGATATGGCGACTGAGTCACCATCTCTCCAGTCATTCTTTAAGTGAAAGAGAATGAAAGGTATTTTTTCCTCCATCTGGCTTGCCCTCGTGGTGTAATTGACAGCCCACCCGGCTAGAAGTCGGAGGGCCGAGCCTCGAATCCTGGCTGGGGCATTGTTATTTGTCTCACCTTTCCTGCTTCAAAATAATTCTAAAAATGACTCTATAGTACAAAATCTTGAAACATTACTTTTTTTTTTTTATTGAACATGTATTGTGTTTCTTAAAAGGATATTTTATTTTATTACATAAAAAAAATTCGGTACATTAAGAACGTAGAATAATTTTTTGAGTATAACAATAAATAAGGAAAATATAGTAGCTCATAGTTAGGCGAAATTATTTAATTAATAGCGAATATATTCAGAACTGGTTTCTAGACTAGAACTAGAAAGAAACCCATATATTGTTCAATTTGGCTCTTAGATATTGGTTGTCAGAGTGGCTTTCACACTACTGTAACTTTAATTAAACCATTCAGTAATATTCCATGTAATAATTTACTCGTTTTCAACCACACACACACACGCTGGGAGATTTATTAATAAAAGATTGCAAAGCTTAGTTTAAGCTATTTTCGGATACGCATGAGCAAGCAAAATCTTTTCGATCTTAATTAGTTGCGACAAGCGAGACATTCACAAAACATAAATTATAAATAACATTCTATTTACAAAATAAAAATAAATAAAAACAATTTAACTAAATATAAATTTGAAATATTATAACAATGTAGATTTGGATTTAATTAAATGTTTCTAGTTATTCACAAATTTAATTAATAGCGAATGCATTTAAATTTATTATTATTATGTTTATTTAAATTATTTAAAACATTATTTCAAAACTATGATTGATTCAAGGGCAGTTAAAAGTCATAAAAAGGATGATTAATTAATATTATAACATAACAGTAAATGCTATTAAAGTTTTATTTGTATTTTCAAGCAATTTAATCTAGATAAAATATTCATTCGTTTATATAAAGTTGGTTAGTAAATTATTATATATTCCGAATGATGCATAATTACATTATATGCTATTGTATGTTAAAAAACAAAAAAAACTTTTCAAATACTTTGTCCACGTTTACTATCAGTACTGTTATCCCATGTTATTCTATATTTTCGTAGGTAATTTTGTTTTATACTGATGGTGTTGGATTTCAACTATTTAAGGAAGCATAACTTTGAGATGCATATCAGATATTAAAATTCTTAGCAGCACTCTTAGTAATTAAACATTGCAAGAAAATACACAAAAATATTTTTAAAAAAATTAAATTATGTGCACATGTGTGGATTTCGGAGAGCTGTAAAATTATTTTTCTCTTATTCGCAAAATGTATTCAAGTTAATCAGGATTATTTTCTCTGAATCAGAAAATACGTAATGCATATCCCACTGAAGTTTCAAAAATGCCAAAAGTTCGTTTTAAATGCATTGTTTTAATAAATAGTAGTTTTTAAGTTTGAACTTATGCATATTTTAAGGTCCTCTAAGATCCAGAAATGTGTAATCTTTCTCCTTCATTACGTGAACATAATTAATTTCAAATATAACTGTATCTTTTAATACTGAAAAGACTGAAAAGAATACTTTTAATACTGAACAGAAGGGTCAGACCTATATTGAAGATACTTAAGTGGACTCGTACACCTTAAAACCCGTAAGATCTTCGAATATGTGACTGTTGCAAGAATTGGGATAACTTATTTATTTTTAAAGCAATTACTTCCAACGTTTTACAGCTGACTACATAATATATAATTGCTTTCTGAAATAGTGATCAGAAAGTTTGTGTTGCCACAAATATTTTTATAATTTAATCCGCTTTTTGACAAAAATTTGCGTCATGTTTCCAACTTGCGCGCACAGTTTAAAACATTCTGTTGCATAATTTAATTCCATATTTAATGTATAGCTTTTATAACATTTGGAAACTACTGTTAACCTAAAATTCTAAGAATTTTATGTTAAGTTTTTATTTTATTTGGAGTCGAAGTTTATAAAATGTATTTTATTAAAAAACCTCTTAATGTTTTCGTGCCATAAAATTTTTTGATATTAAAAATATTCATCAGATTTTGAATTCCGTTAAAAAATAGGTGCTCCATATAAAGAATTCCATCAACTTTCAAGTATGTACCATTAGCCATTTTAAAAATATCGTGCGCGCAAGGTGGAAACACGACGAAAACATTTTGTCACAAAGCGTATTAAAGTTACAAAAATATTTGTGACAACACAAACTTTCTGATAACTAGTTCCAAAGCATCTATATTATGTAGTCAGCTGTAAAAAGGTTTGGAAGTAATTGATTTTAAAATAAATAAAATATCCCAATTCTTGTAACAGTCACATATTCGAAGGGTAAGAGGTTTAAGGTATATGAGCCTCCTTAAGAAATTATTTCCAAGAAAACAAGTAAAAACTTCAGTATTTTAATACATGCAAGATAGACATTGTAACGTGGAACTGAACATCGGTTTTCATATACGTTTATAAAACGTTTGATGTCTTGGGAACTAAAATTAGCGTTTAAAATTTTCTCCAAACTTTTAAGAACTAATAACTGACTTCCAGATCTTCTCGAATAGTAACTATAAAGTTCTTCTCCAGTTTTAATTAAAAACAAAGATAATTCACAAAGATGATTCTAACTTTTTTTTAACAAAAAAGGGTGGGGGGATTTTAAGGGATAGGAATGTTATGTGAACTTATAACAGGTATAATAGCGTTCTACAGATTCATCAATAAAATTATGGGTTTTGAGAATGCTTCCCAATTTTGCATTTACATTGGATTTAATGAAACGGTTGATAATTTTATTTTTAATAATAACAAGACAGTTCGATATTTGGTTATAGATGACGCATACACCGAAATTTACACGATCCTTCTCAGGCAAACATAATAAGTCATCCGCTAAAAGGCCATGCTCGAACACCTTAAATCCATACTATACCAGTTTTAGGTTAAGATTTAAAATACAGTGTGGTATACTATTAACGTTACATTAGTTTAATTGTTAAATCAGGTTTAGTCTTTCGCTAACTAGCAAAAAGAACTGTAATGAATGAATGTAGAAAAATGTGACACATAGCAATCAATTAGTTTTTAAATAAATAATTTCCATTTGCTGAGAAGCTCTAAATTGGTAATTAGTGATGTCCTGCACTAAGGAATTGAATAATTATATTTATTAATATTACGCGTTTGCCTAAAGTTTCTCTAAATTGCCCCTAATGAGTATCCTCAGTTTAGTTTTTGCTAAACTGAGTTACGTATGTAAAAGTTTGGTTACGTTAAAAAAATACCCCTTTCCATCCCTCTTCCTTTTTAGAACCATGAAGAGTAAAAGTAAAATATTCTTACCTTTTGTGGTAGGAGTGCAAATGCAAGCGAGTATCTATTATGCAAGCATGCCGTACTAACCCTCTTATATACATACAAACATATGGTGCAATTCAGCATCCGAGTTTAGTGACCCACACTTTGGAGGAAGTTCTGCATTAGACCCTCTTTTCATAGGAACTTGTTTTGCTGCTGTAAGAGGAAATAATAACAATAAATAAACGTATGGATGCATGTATTAAAGATGCAATTCCCGTAGCTTGAATATTTAAAGAACAAGAGCGTTCTCTCCACCCCCCGACTTTTTATTGGCGCAAATGTCCGAAACGACAATTTAGGTTAAAAGCATGGAACATTTTTTTTCGAGGGATTAAGCTCCTAAATGAAGGGATTACAAGTTCCTCCCCCCCTCTGGATAGTGCGATATTTTGCACTCTGCTATGAAGGGAAAAAAACAGCTTTTTTTTTTTCCCCTCTTTTGTTTTTTTTCCTCAAAAGGGATGCTCGTAAACATTCGCTCTTCCGGCACGCTGTATCCTGATGGGGAAGACATGGGGAAGCTGGGCAGTTCCGAGAAGTACGAAATACTGAAAATTGCAGTTACGTGGTAAACATCCCATATTGGCAAAACTTTTTACTGCGTTTTCCAAAATGTGGAATAACTGACAATAGGGGGTAGTTATTTATTACTCTCTTTATCTGTTTTTCCCCCTCTCATTTCGATGGGAATTTAATGCAATATTTGTAGCGCTTCAACAACATAGTACTCTGCATTGAGCAGCTTTCGACTTCGGACAACTCTTCTGTCCCGACACTATGTCGTAACCAAGATTGTTCACATCCATGCATTAAGAGGTCCAGAAAAATTCTAAGGTGTGGGTTCCATCCCCGAATACAGAAGAGAAAAATGAAATGAAAAAGCTGATTTCCTTGCAAAAAAAAGGAGCCATAGTATGCAGAAACCTAATAAAAGCATTAGCTGCCATTCTCTAAATATTTTGACAAATTCGCTAACCAGTTATTTTATGTTTTGAAATCTTTACTGTTCCTTCTCTCTTCCGTTCCTGACAGAATGCAAATTAATTCGCGTGTATTAAAGTGAAAATTTGTACTTTTTGAGATTGTTAAGATTCCGCCTCTTGAAGGCTACGTTACTAGGTTTGCTATTCTAAGAGAAGAGTTCTTGTCTTCGGCGTTGCATAATAGCTGCGGACAGTAAATAGCTGCCAACTTCGCAGTAAATTACTCCTTGTAGCCTTTGGCAATTAGAAATTTAAATTTAGCTTTACATTTGAATTTCTACTTCGAATTTCTTGCCAAAAATGCTGGCAGACTTGTTCATCGTATTACATTTTAAAAAGGTTCTTTTACACCCTCCTCAAGCCTTCTGTTGCACTTCGGATCAAGCGACAGTACGTTAGTACGTTGCAGTCAGGTGCCCGCGCGTGAGCGCTACCCTAGTATATCTGACTGAGCGATTTTCGATCAAATGCAGTTCCTAATTTGGCGCCGGTATGATCATACGTGAAGATGGCATAATCTGGTGAAGATCCCGAAGAGACTGGCCACCGCAGAGGCTAACACGCTCCATCGGGCGAGGGCAAGTGCGGAGTAAGAACTGTTGCACTTCAGACATAGCGATAAGTCGCCTTAACGTCTACCAATGGGTTTGGTCACAGTTCTAACAGTGAAAGACATCTTCATGCATAATCATTGAAAACATATAGTGATAAGACTTGGGACATTCTTTGTACAAATCCACCTTCTAATCTATCTAACTACCAATATTTAGATATTTTTACCACTCGGCTGTTGGTTAAATGACACTATAGTGGGCTATCTTTAAACAAGCGCACCGAAAGGCGCATTCATTTTCAAATAGGTACAGAACGTACTTTGCAGAGTTTTATTGTGTCCCTAAAGAGAATGTTTGCCTATTGTCAAGCTGGTCTAAAGCTGAAAGCTAAAAACTAAAGCTGAAAGCAGGCAAAAGCTGAAAGCTGGCCCAAACCCAAGAATACGAGTTGCTTTAAGGCTGGCTCTTTGCTTGTGTTCTACCGCTTGTGGTGCAGCCTGTGATTAGATAAGCCTTTCTATTCAAAGTTTAAATTTCAATAAGTGCGCAACTTCTGTTTATAAATAAAATCTCGGGTAGTTGTGGGATGTCTGTTATTAGGGAGTTGAACTTAAAATTTAAATTATCTCTACGCAGGAGACTAAATATGCAAACAACCTTGTAGTGTTGCGTGGCCCCAACTTGTCAGCAACTATGGTAGTGACTGTTATGAACTGTAAATTACACAAACTCGTAAGAAGGGTTTAAATCCCTTTTAATTCCACTTTAGAAATAGCAGTTGCGTTCACTTGACGCTCACAAACTACGCCGACCCGGCGGTATAACAAAAACAGAAATGTGAAACTAAAAATTAATGGCAGGATGAATAAACAACTAGATCACTACCTACGAGGCTCTAAAAATCGTAACTAACTTGAACCACGCATTCTAAAATACAGCTGAGATTCAGCGAAACTTACTGATTAAGCAGTTTGAAAGATTCAACGAACTGCCGAGATAGGCACACAGGCCGAAACGCGCGGTTCTTAATTTCTAGCTAGCAACCTTCACGTTAGCGATTCAAGAAGCACACATACAATCTCGTTTCCCTTATATTTAAACTCAACTTACTTCTGCTAAAATTTGAATATACTGCGTGTTCTACTACAATTTACATACTCTGGCATTGGCAATTCTAGGGGAAAGTAAAGGCTTGACAGGACAGTTAGCTTAAACTTAAAATAAATGTTAGTTAAAATAAATATAAACCCTACAACCTAATTAAACATTGAATCAATTAATTATTCGAGATTTACTTTGGCTATCAAAATGGCAAAAGCCGGATAACTATTGTAGCACTACTTCGAGCTTCGCTGCCAGAACTTTCGATGTCCGGTTAAAGCGTGCGAAAATCCGGCCTAAATACTCTGGACTCATTTACATTACAAGTGTCATATTCCTTTCATTCTGAATGCTATGGGATCACTAAGCCATACATGAAAAAATCTGATGTGGACCCTACATGACTTCCTTGTGCAGCCTGTTAAATTATGCATATTTTTTGCTGCATTTCATTTTAATTTGTTTCTTGGAATTTTATTAGAGATATATTTCTCATTCAATCAATTCAGTTTTCACTTCGCGGCAGGGCAAAAATACATAAAAACTCAAAACATTTTCATTAAAATTTGTCAAATACAGAAACACCTAAACCTCCAAATACAGTTAAAACAGTTAAAAAAAAATAAAGAAAAAACAATTTTTACAACTGAAATTAGAAATTCTACGCAAAACAAGCATTCTAGACAATGGGCAGGAAGACAGACTTTTCGGTGCAAAAAAATTGAAAGTTACTTTTGGTCCCACTCGGCAAAAAGACGCTGAATTGGTGCACAAACTAACTTAATTCACGCTTCTACTGAGAGTTTCGAATATAAACAAAGGGCGACTTCGTTAGGCTTAGTATTTCGTTAAATTGTTGATAATGCCTCAACTGTTGCATGCATATTAACTCCTAAGTTTAATTAAAGTAGAATTATTTTAAAAGTATGCATCCATACTGGTAAGTTATATTTTGAAAGATGTTTTGAAGTAATTTGAAAGCAAAATGTTAATAATGTTTTAACGGGGACTGGAGTTAAATCATCACGAAGAATAATATTTCAATTGTAAAAGGAAAAATTAAAACATGTAATCATTGTCATTGATCGGAAATTAGTTGACTTTTCAAGGGGAACAAACCAACTCCCGTTCAATGAACAATAATTGATAAAAATACGTAAATACGAAAGTGTTTCGTCTTTACTCGAGTTATAAGTTAAAGCCAAACCGGCAGTTCTAGTCAGGCCAAATATTTCCGCGAATAGTAGGAATTATGAACCAATGCTGATACTCAAAGAACTTATTCTTATGAAGCATTTTAGTCAATTCAATTTGGAGTAAAAAATCAATTACTGTAGAGAAATCCAATAAAACTCGAGTAAACCGTCCCCGACACTTTCATGTTTATGCATTTGAGTACTATATTATTTGTAGAAATTAAACATTGGAAATTGTCATTATGAAATCGAATTCAAAGTAAAGTTGAAATAAACATAGAAGATTATAAAAAATAATATATATGTTTATAATTGAAACAGAAATTGTAAAGCTAACAAGTAATGAGACGTAAGAGCTATTTGGTCTTAAAAATGTTTTTCGCATAATGCTGCAAAAAGATATGAAATAATAGTAGGTAGAAACATTGCAGCGATCTTGCTAAAAAGTTACCAGGAGCTGTAGCTCAACGAAATAGTTCAACGCAGTATTACTAAAATATTAACAAAGAAGAAATTTGTTTAAAAATTTTAATCTAGAAAAATTGGAAAAAAACTGTAAACACGCGAAAAAAACTGTTAAAATTAATGTTGGAAGACATGCGAATGCACGAAAAAATTAATCTGACCGTTGTGATATGTGAAAAGTTAATACAGAAAAAATAGATTGACGGAAAAAATATTAAAACATAAAATGCAAAAATTATAATGAAAACATAAATTTCAAAATTACAAAAATACAATAATTACAAAGCGGAAAATGGTAAATTAACCCACTCGTACCCTCAACCAGGCTTTTCAAGGGAAATGATTAAGTGTCGAATAGGCTAAATACAATTACGCGTTTCGATGAAACAGACCATTGAAGCTCTTGTTTGACGTGAAAAAATTTAAAAAAAAACATGAATAGTCACGAATAAATCTTTTTTGGAGCTTCCATGCTCTGTTCCTTTTTCCCGACGCATCCGCTGAAAAACACATTAGGGTGTTAAAAGTAATTGCAACTCCGAGCAATGTAAAATTAAAATCAAAATAAAATAAATAGCGGTTTGCTATTAGTCAGAAATACAATAACGTACGGGCTGGTCCTGCATAGCTTAAAGAAGAAAGAACTTTTATAAAGATAATGTTAATGTAATCAAATGATATGCAATTAAACTTGCTAGAAAACAAACGTCGTTATTAGGACCCCCCCCCAAAAAAAAAAACCATAATACAAAACAAACGAAAAAACTGACCTGGGAGGTGCCGTCCTTTGCATCGTGCAAAAGATGATGTTTATGTACTTATGTACTGCCGATTGCAACTAAAAAGTAAGATGCACAATTAA